TCAGGATGAGGTGGACAGCAGCATTTCCTCAGCTCTCCTGACACATACCTTTTGTTGAGGGCCGAGAATTAACGAGGTAACTTGAGCAGAGGCATTGTCACTTGAGAAGATTGGGGCTGACCGGCAGTATGCTGCTAGCATTTCCCATGAAGAAGCTCTTTTAGCATTGGAGTGTGTTTGCTTCAAAGGTCTTGACCCTCAGATAGATACCGCTTTAGGTTTGCCACTTTTTAACGTAAAAGACACAACCCACCATCCATCCTATCTACACTACTGGTCAAAGGTCTTAGAACACCCTACTCATTCAAGGGTTTTTCTTTATTTTTACTATTTTCTACATTGTAGAATAATAGTGAAGACATCAAAACTATGAAATAACACATATGGAATCATGTAGTAACCAATAGAAGTGTTAAACAAATCAAAATATATTTTATATTTTGAGATTCTTCAAATAGCCACACTTTGCCTTGATGACAGCTTTGCACACTCTTGGCATTCTCTCAACCAGCATTTCAATTAACAGGGTTGCCTTCTTAAAAGTTAATTTGTGGAATTTCTTTCCTTCTTAATGCGTTTGAGCCAATCAGTTGTGTTGTGACAAGGTGGGGGTGGTATACAGATGATAGCCCTATTTGGTAAAAGACCAAGCCCATATTATGGCAAGAACAGCTCTAATATAGGTATATATTATGTATATATAAATATTTTGTGTGCAAGTGAAGAATATACACCTTTTTTATGTCGGTATACTGAAATGAATTAAATTTACATTTATTTGCTTTTATTCAAATTATATTACTTTTTACTTTTTACTACTAACTCAAATCTGGGCCGTGTGTGCAGATTGAGAGTAGCGTGTACATCACTAGCGCGGGGCAGAAGGTGGCTTGTGGTTTCATGCTCTGCCTCCAGTCTTACTCCTGGCGCCTTGATTCTGTGCTACTGAGAGGGAGACATTTAGACGGTGTGTCTTGGAATGGAGGCGTGCCCTGTACTATAATACATGTTTGACACGGCAGAGATTAATGTGGCCCTGCCTCAGGGCGTGGAGAAAAACTGTTAGTTGGCGAATTCATAAGTTTCCTTACGACCCTACATAAAGGTACATCGTAATTGATATGACGGCAAGAAAAACATAACAAGTTGTTTCACAAGCTAGTGAATTATCTTACGTGTATTACCTAGCTGTTAATCATCTTTAGACATGCTGTTAGATGTACTTACATGATTCATTATTTTTGTCTGTGTGTACAATACAAACGTGTGTGTGTGTGTGTGTGTGTGTGTGTGTGTGTGTGTGTGTGTGTGTGTGTGTGTGTGTGTGTGTGTGTGTGTGTGTGTGTGTGTGTGTGTGTGTGTGTGTGTGTGTGTGTGCGTGTGTCCGTGTGTGTGTGTGTGCAGATTGATGTTGTCCTCAGAATAACCGCCAGCGATGATATGCTCAGTTGTGTGGGCAGTCAATCAATCAGTCGTAGGCCGTTAAACTGAAAGCTGCTGACTCACCTTATGACACACAGAGAAGGTAATGGGGATGTTCCAGGGAGGGAGGGAGGGAGGGAGGGAGGGAGGGAGGGAGAAAGAGACAGGGAGTTAGGGAAGGAGGGAGAGAGGGGCATTATCAACATCCTTAATGACTCAAGCTCCTCTCAGCCACTATTGTAAACAATGGAGCAGTGCTTCATCTCAGGCCCAGTGTTTCTGTCAGACGTGTGCTCAGTAAGGCTCAGACTTGTCCCAGTAATGACATACCTCCATTCAGCAGTAGCTGTTTGCTCCAGGATCACCTTACATTACCTGTCTGCAGGAGGCTACTGGACTCGCCTCAGCAAACAAACATTCATATAGCCTTTGAATGGTAAGAAAATGTTGACTATATAGGTACAAAATCAAAACGTTTTCTCCTGCAGTCGAGGCTATGGGAGCTCACACAGTGCTGCATACACACACGAACGAACGCATTTGCGTGCACACACACACTTCCTGTAAAAATTATATTACAAACGGGGCTAATCGTTGAGTAAATATTTGTTGAATTGTTGCAGAATTACTACTAGTCAGATAAACATTATGATCAGGAAATGATCATGTTAGATAATTATATTTAATTTCATCTAATCTGTACGACATGTACTAGCCTCAACACTGGAGATGGCAATTTTACTTTTCTAATTTGGCATAGCAGCAGATTGAACACTAACAAGCAAATTGGGAATAGTCCCTCAGGTCAAGACACTGCATAGATTCTGATAGGCCTACTACAGTGTGAGATCGTTTGCTTAATGAATGAAAGCACACGTACATTTAAAGGACATATAGCTTGACTCTCACCATAGCTCTTCACACAAATAACCATAAGGACACACACACTCAGGTCCATACATTTAAATAGTATAAGGCTCGGCACACACCAAATATTTTGGCCTCCACCTGTCTCAGCAGTCCTATAGTGTGTCTCAGGACAGGCAGCATTTTGAACTTTGTGGTGGTGAGGTGGTTTGATTGCAGAGGAGACACACTGGACTGTGATGGATGAAGCTACATGCTGCAGCTCCCAGTCCTTTGTGTTGATGTCCATCACCAGGTGTCCATGGTAACCCTACCACACACATCTCTATCTGCATGCCCCTGCTACTAACAACTTCCTGTCTGTCTTTCTGACTATTGTCTGAACAGTCAACCTGCTCACCCTGAGTACAGCATACTTCAAAACCTTTTGTTAAAGTTAGTTTCTTATACAGTACATGACATAATCTGACAACTACCTCAATCCAATATCGAAACTTTGAAGCGCATTTGGCCAACGTAGTCATTTGGATTATACAAACCGTATTTTACAAAATATGGATACAAGGATAAACAAACTCAAACAACAAAACTAAACTACGGGCAGCTGGATTGTGTTATGTATATTTTTGTTCAGAATGTCCCACATGTTCTCATCCTGGAGAGGTCTGTGGCTTGGCTTTGGACTGGCCACCGCACAGGCAAACTGCAGACTAGAGATTGTTAAAAGTAAGCACTTAGCAAAACTATGTTTCCACTTCCACTAACTGTATTTTCATAAGGTTTTCTAGGTTAGCATTTTAAGTCCTATATGCAGATGTAAAAATTGCTAAATTGCTCTCTGTTTATGCCTCAAAAGCTCAACTACTAGGCCTCTGTGTTCATCTTGAAAATGTTGTCAACTCTATGACCTTAAACAAGTATTATTTTTAAAGACATAACCAGGCAAGAAGTTAATATCTCTTTAGTCTTGTACAAGAATGTCCTATAATAATTATAATTATAATTATAATAACAATTATTATTATTATTCATATGAATGTGTTGTATGACATATAATCATATTAAAACATACATGTTATGTTAATAAATACATTAATGTTCGTGTACTACGTTATTGTAATGATAATGAATTTCAGTAGCCTTGTAGTATTTCGAGAAGGGTTTGAGTTGGATTCATTTCAATATGCTACATTATATCAAAATAAATGCTGTGCATTGTAGGCCTACCATTCATACTCCTAACGTGATATAGAATAGAATATAATAGATAGGTTAGGCCTAAGTGATAATAATTTAGGATAATAATTTCGATTTTGATGAAGCATTTAGTCTACACTTTCTAGCTATTGGCCTATAGCTCACACAGATTTAATTGGTGAATACACTTTCGATAGAAATTTATTTGAACAGATGCACACTGTAAACTGGAATAAAAAATGTGCATATGAGAAAATTGAGCTGGGAATGTGGCCAGTCTGGTTTAATCGGTTGGTGATAGTTTGCTCACAGTCAACAATTTATCAAATCCAGGCTCCAATATTTTCTGAAGATTGAAGACAACACAGTATGCCGTCCCAAATTGAGCTACATTTACTAATATAAATGTTAACCGTCATAAATGCTGCTCGCGGCGTAGCATTATTAGCTTTAGTTTACAAAATATTGTCTTGTAGTCCTATATCATTCTGTGATTATTGATGCAGACGGTGCGTAACCGCAGTTGCGCACGAATGACTTGCATCTCTGCATGACGTTTGGATTGATTAGGTGCTTCAGACGTTTGAGTAGGGCCAGTTCTGATACTACTGTATGTTGATTCTTGGATTATCGGGTGTTTCGTGTTTGTCTTGGAATAGGCTATCCAATAGAGGTGTCACTCTATGATTTTTGTCATGGTCTGGTGCCTCAAATAAGAAGGGCGTTTTGGTCTTTATTTTTGACAGATTGTTTGGTAGCTATATTGCGGTCAGCGTCGGTACCCAGATAGAGTGAGAGAGAAGTGAGAGAGAAGGAAATCTGTCCGGATGGTAGCATCAGGTCAAAGGTATACAGAGTGACACCTCAGGAGGAAAGTTGCTATACATCAACCATTAAAGTTATTATACCAATCACAATTTTCTAATTTTAATTTGACCAGTAGCCAACAATAGCTGCATGAATTAGGCAAATCCAAATATGTCGAAAGACATTTCCCGTTTAGCGTGCCTTTATTAAGCACAGTTATAAAAATATATACATAATACAGCTTTTGCGGATGTCATTTACAAAATTACAAATACATGATATTGTTCACATTTTGAACTTTCCCTTTCAGGCCATAATAACAAATGGAGACCGTTCATGTTTGTTTGAACACACACAGCATGCACGCCCTATTAGCCATTTCGGTCGTGGGAAACAATGTGACCTCAAGGAAATTACATAATTAGTTTACGCAATTTCGATTTGGGATGAGTTTTGAATGAGTGAAATATAAGATATATAATAATGAAAACCTAACCAACACCACTGCATTGGTGCAGGTAAACAAGACTATAACAACATTCATGTCTACATTCGATTATTTTACATTTGTATTGACATGCGATGCAATTACACTGAATGATGTTGGAAATGTATGTTCGTCACTTACTGGTGGATTTCTTGAAAATTCGCCCATAACTTTACGCATTTTCTGTACATTGCCTATTTGAAGTGAGTTTGGGTTATTAAGCTGAGGTCGGGAGTGTGAGTCCGTGTATGTTCAACGCCTCGTGCTGGTGCTTGCTCAAGGGACTGTGAGGTTTTCTGTCTCCTGCGAAAAACAAACAAGAGATACAGTATGTTTCTGGAACAAATAAGTCGTAATTCTATCCATCGTCAGAACAGTGAGCACACACAACCATGTCAACTATAGGTTCGGTCCCAATGCCCTGGCAAGAGGAGTAGATATCTAGACTTCTGATCTGCCAGAGATCAATGTTATTGGACTGTCATACCTAGGTGTATAAAACGGTGATGGATTTATATGAATTTGTTCATTGGATTGTAGGCCTACCATATGTAGCAATCTTTGATTCTCACACAAATATTATCTTCACAAAAGTATAAGCAGGCATGTAACTTCCATCAAAATGATTGCCCTAGGAGAAACAGCAGGTAATGGATAATGTAGGTTACTCAAGTATTTAATTTAGAATTATACTAATTGGTTTAACATTAATTGGCCTATCTTGCTTCATATATATTGTTTTTCATATGAAGTCGAATGTGGATGGAATTGACACCGCTAATTGCATGGTTGTTGTCATTTATATTAAATTACCTCAATTACATTTTTATCCGTAAAAAACGGTTATGATATGTGGAAATCATGTAGGCCTATCAATGCAAAACCAAACCTTCCCTACAGGCCTACTCGTCCTTGAAAAGCAAACGCACTACGCTTGAAAATAGGAATATATAACGTAGTCTAAAATGTATTCGCAAATTGAATAGACATAATTTGAACATCATAGCTAGCTAATCGCAACCTTATTTAATGAATATGTAAACGTTTGGAAAAATGTGGTCTATATCGTTAGGCTAATAGCTATCATATAATTCAACTATTATTAATGGTTTCTTCAAGATCACCTACACCATAGGCCTACAGTCATCACCTGAGGGTATGAAATGCCATTGCTGTAGGCCTACTGTGTACCTTTACACTGGCTTGATACCATAATGACTTGCACAGTAAATAAAGTAACCTTCTCTCAAAGGACTATATTGTTTCTTTATCAGTCGCCCAACACAGCCTGCTCTGTTTTATGCCCGAAGCTTTCGTTGTATGTAGCATTTAGGCCTATGCCCTATATAACATACACAATTATCTAAATGTCAACCGTTGTCATCCTCGACCCCTAATTAAACCCATAATGTTCGGTCGTTAGGTTTCGACCCACGGGGCCTAATCTTTTTTTGACGAGTGCATTTTAAAATAGCTGGTGTTTGATTGATAGCTGCATATATGTTTGCCATTGTGCTTCATTCAAATATCCGCTGGAATATTTGAAACCTAAAAAAACAACGGGCTTAGTTACCTTCTCGTGATGACTGTTTGAAAGACATTGCGGTGTGGAGGTCTCCACCTTGCATCATTGCTCCGCTGTTGGGGTGGGCAAGGCTTGCGCTCTGAGACTGCCAGTGGTGTCCAGTTGTCATGTAGTTAGCTGCTGGCCCACCATACACCCCATATTGGTTTGGGGGAGAGTAGGCACAAGCAGGTACATAACTAGATAGGTTTGAAGAAGACTGGAATGGGAGAAACAAAAAAAATATTTTAAGCACAGCGAAGCAAAACGCCCCAACACTTTGATATGCATGCATATATTTACAGTGGAAATCTTGTGGAAACGGATTTCTGATCAAACTATGAACATATTCGTTGTTTGTGTATTGTTTGTGTATTTTATTCATAATTGTACCTGATGATACTTAATGTCTGCCTCTAGGGAGGATTTCTCTATTCCGTTGACGCCATGGGCAGAGGAAAACGTCGCTCTGTTTACGCTCGCCCACTCCTCCATTTTTGATTGGTACCCCTCCGCTCCAGCAATGGCTGTGGAAAATTTTTCATTGTAGAATATTACATTATTAGGCCTACAAACCAATGTAGGTTTTCATTCGATATGAAGCCAACTTAGTTGAACATGTATTTTGGGATATAGCTCTTGTGTTTAAGAACATTCCTTTTGCAGAAACACAGGATGGTAGTGAAGCATTTTATGCTAAACAGATGGTTTTTATTAAATTCGTGGGGAAATTATCTGATAAACACATACTTCAACCAATCTTTATTTTATACAATCAGATCGAATGTTTGTGGCCACAATATTTTCAATGCCATGTTTTTTGTAAGTTCTTGAGATTTTAGAACAACATCTTATATTTTATTATTGCTGATGTAACTCCTATAGCTTTGTGGTTTGGCCTGTTGGACCTGTTGGTCTCATGCGATTATAATGCTATAGTTTGAAGAGAAACAATAAGATATCCGACATAAAATAAGACGTTTAGCCTAATTAACGTTTATATTGGACTACGAGTTCGTTGTAGAAATATGAATAGGCCAAACCACAAAGTAGGCCTCACACTGATAGGCCTATATGTAGGCTATTTCACCATCGACACATTTCAAGATGATTTTGCATTTATAGTTTATAGCAGATGTGCCATTTGGCTCCTTTATCAATATTATTTAAACTTTCGTTCATTCCAAAATTATACATTAGGCCTATTCAGCCCATAATAACTTCTCACTATTTACAGTTAGGCCTATATCGTTATTGTATTTGTCTATCCCTGTTGTTGAGTATACCTTTGTTGTTTTAAGTTGTTTCTCATTAATGTGAAATAATACGAAATATCTGTGTGATTAACAAGCCACACTGACTGATGCGTCAATGTACCAATGTTACCAATTTGAGCACTCAATGGACAATGCTACAGCATCTGAAAAAGCAACTTAGCTGCAAGAGTAACATACATGCACAATATATGATTTTGTCACCTACCTGAGGGGTCCATGAAGGCTCGAATGCCCAAAATGTTGCTGACTGTGTGCACCGAAGGCCATCCATGGCGGGAGAGGCTGACATGGCCCGCTGTAACGGGTACACCCGGACCGCTGACAATTTTAGTCCCAGTGGGTGACATTGCACTGGGGTATGAGTACGGGTACATGTGGTTGTAGGATAGTTGAGGAGGGGTTGGCTTGCTGTTCTCATACTGGCCCGGCTGAGTAAGATTTCCTATTTTGTTGCGTAAAATGCGGCTTATGGAGCTAACCGAAGGAACATTATATTTATCACAAACTGCGTCTGCAAGAAGCCTGTCCCTGATCTCCCAAGCAAATATTCCAGGGTCTCCTTGTTTGTAATCCCTTATGCTTTTCACCACATTGGGTGTTGTGACCCGGGGTTTACTTCCTCCTATGGCACCGGGCAATATCGAACCAGTCTCGTTATATCTCGCTAGTATCTTGCTCACGCAGCCATGAGAGACTCGAAGCTGTCTACTGATGTCACAGGGTCGTATTCCAAGTTGAGCTAATTCCACGATTCTGATCCGAATCGAATTTGGAAGTGGTCGCCCGTTGACAAATACCCCGCCAAGCTGGTTTACTTCTCCATATGTTTGATCTGCAAGAAACAAATAAGGAATTGCATTGATGTGCATAGACTCGACAGAGCAATGTTACGGTGTTTTAAACAATAGCCTGTTTATGCCTAGCCTAGCATAATGCCCACTCAAGTTTCCAAAACGTCATTCATTTACATTTTACATTTTCCGGCTCCTTGATTGAATCTATATCACTCATAGACTGTTATGGCGCTCAAAAACTATGTTCTCTAACCTATTATGCTCTCAAACATCGTCAAGCAGTTCACTCCAAATGTGTCCGAAAAAATGAAATAGCCTATGAAAATGGAGTGGACAGTGGACACTGGAATGATAGAAGGACGCACTATTTGAGGATAAGCTAGTAGGCTACAATATAAAGCTAAAACCTAATGCATGCACATCTCTATTTATTCAAACATTTTCTCCTGAAGAGTCGAAGATCCCATGCAAAATTAATCATGAGTGCTTACCCATTGCTTTTGGTGTGAGATGTTTTCCTCTACCAGTTGCCAATGGTCGAAAAGTGCTGTCTTCCCCTTCTGCACATGAGATGAGGAAAATTGTTTTTCTGTGCGTTTTTCCTTCAGCTCTGCTCTTGCATTTCTGGTAAGATGATCTAAAACGGCGAGTTTGGGCAAAGGGACTGAAGTGATCTTTGTCCCATAAGGGGAAATGTGTCCATCCTGAAGGCTCAAGTGTGCGCAGATTAATTTGACGCATCCATTGCGTCAATCTCGTTGGCTGCGCTCAAGGCTCTTTCCGCATTTCATTGGTCTCCTCCTCTGCGTGTATCTTAGCCTAGGCTACTCCACCGAACCTTTTCCGGTTTTTAGAGTTGAACTTCTGTCAAGAGGGCCTTTGTCACACGGAGGAGATGGCTACGCTCTTGGAACTCGGATCAAGCATGCGCTTGGAAATTAAAATCCAAGCAAAAAGCTGTTCTCCACGACAATGATAAACTCTGTTTAAAGATAGGCCTATTTGATTAATACAATGGATAGAATTAACTTGCAATTATGGGCTGTTATTTTTAATGCATTTACAGATTGATGATCGGCTATTACATTTTTTGGCCGTGCTACAAGTTTGCATTATATAGTTCATTTGCAAGGGTATTAGCATTTGTATCCATCCGAAAAGTTACCCCAATCAATGAAACGTGGACTGGAAGGCATGACCCAATAAAGACTTGTGCTAAACACACATGGACAATCTAGCACTTTTGTTTGAACAAAACGTTATTTACCTACCCTTTCATTGGCATTAATTGAATCTGCGCACAATGGTCATATGGAAATTCATACAGTTTCTATGCAATTTCTGGTTTAATACAGATCTATTCGAACATCGATATTTGAGGGATTTTTGATTGAGTGAGTGATGATTAGGCCACTTTGGTTACCCATGGCTAAGGCTAATCTGATAAATTGGGCACATGGCAGATTAGGATTAGCCTATTATGATGTGGAGCATACAGTATGTAAGGCCTATATCTTTCTGTCGTAGGCTATTTAAGACTATTGCTTTTATGCGTCGTGAAGTTGGACCCTTTTATTTTCCAATAAATAGTATGGCTATTGAAACGCAAAGTCATTTCAAATGATTGGTTATGATAGGTCTATCGAACACATGTAGGCATGTGAAGACCATAGCCTACTCTTCACACCAACAAAATAAGAAAATTAGTTTTTGAATGCACAGAGGGTCTGTGACCCAACATCTGTTTGTTTTTTTACGGCAGGTCTCTTTTTAAGGCTACATTGCTGTTCATCAGACCATGCTAATTACAGTGGTTGCATGATAAATATTTGGCATGTGCTGTATTTTGGTCTTTGCCACTCTTTTTCTCTGAATAACTATGTTAATCGTTTATTGGTCCACACTATTTCTTGTTTGCCTATAAACAAATGCAACAGTTTTTTTTATTTATAGGCCTAATATCAGCAAGAAGGCGTTTGGGGATTGTTTTATTTACTGCATTTATATTGTTTAGATATAACTATTGATCTGCCCTGATATATGTGCTACACGTAAGCCTATTTAACATTTAAAAGATACAAGTGTTTTTTTGTTTTTTTGATAGTCCTATATGGGCGTACTTCGAGGTTCTTTTCATTATTTAGACGAGTAGGCCTACCCCTGAAAGTAGGCATATACCCGTTAAACAAGTATGGTTTCAATTGTCTTTATTCATTTATTTATTTTATTGAGAAAATCTCTGCCTCCTTTTTTAAATGTAATATTTATGAGGATGGTGATCTCATAGTTAAGTCAGACGACCTGATCAAGACATGACGCGTGCAAGGCAAGACATCACTGCAAATAGGTACTGCGCAGTATCCACACCTGCAAACATAGCCAGGTGCTTAACAACGGATCTTTTGCTAAGAATTTGATAAAGGCTACCTGTAGTATGTATTGCACATAGTTCAAATAAAGACACACCTGGTTTTGTGATTGTAGTTCTCATCAGATCGATGTGCCCATCTATGAGCTTGGCTTGATCTGATGTGGGTTTGGAGCTGAGGTGTGATGCATTCAGAAAATGTAGGTACTGCAACATATTCATTTTTCAAGCCTTTAATTTTCTCAAGAAAATATTTCAATGGTATTGACAGTTCCACATAAATGTAATTCCATTAAATTAGCATGCAGTCTACAAAATTAAAGACAGTCCAATGTTTCCTTTTTGGATACTCTGTAGTTAGAGATGAGATCCATCTAATGTTTTCCCTGTTGCATTAGCCTGTCTGTGGGACCACTGACTGGGTCCTCCTGCTGCCAGGACTTGGCTGTGCAGTTCTCTGCTTCCCCCAGATGAGGCTGTGCTCATCATAGAATTGGACAAATTGGACACATTGCCCTGTGGATTGGACACATAGCCAAATATCAGAACTCAACATTGAACAGATCATGCAATATGCTTTTGAGTTATTTTGGACAATTTTCAATTATGTTGACTACTTTATACATCTTCTTCTCCAGAACCGCTGGACCGATTGGCACCAGATTTGGTATATAGCATCTATGTACCCATGTCTTTAAACAATATTTTCCAGGCCTCTAGCTCAAACATTATGGCTGCTATGAGCCAATGAGCTTGCATGAATGGTTTTGACTGTTCAACAGCGCCACCATGCGACTTAAACTGAAACCTACTTTACAGGTTAGCTAGACTCATATCCCTGAGCATGTGTGCCAAATTTCATCACTCTGAGTCAAACAGATCAAGAGATATAAACATGTGCCCCTTATTGCGCCACCGTGTGGTCGATCTGAATGTGCTTGCATACGTTGAGTCTTAACAGTGTTTGGAACATGTGTACCAAGTTTTGTTACAATACGAATATCCGTGTCTGATTTATATGCATTTATGTGCAAGACCACGCCCATGTGAATGTTGTTTGACATACTAGTCTGGAAAATATTGCGTTGAGAGACCTTGGTCAATAGATGCTAAATATCAAGTTTCATCTAGATCTAGTGGTTCTGGAGGAGGTGTAATTTAAGCATGGCTGGATTACCAAACGAGTATGCAGGGCACGTGCCCCGGGGCACCAAATGCGGTAGTCCAAAATGTTGGCCCTGTATTTAAGTGATTTTTCACACAATTCAAAATAGTGGAAAATCCATCATGGCGGACCTTATAGGTTCTTGAGGCAATTTTGTTCCTTGTGAGAAGAGAGAGACCTATGTACCACATTTCAGAATTATAGGTCACACTGGGTGAGGGGTGTGAGCTTTCAAAGTTAGCATTTTCAATTGTAGGGTCTCCTGAGTGGCGCAGTGGTCTAAGGCACTGCATCGCAGTGCTAACTGTGCCCCTAGAGATCCTGGTTCGAATCCAGGCTTTGTCGCAGCCGGCCGCGACTGGGAGACTCATGGACGGCGCACAATTGGCCCAGCGTCGTCCAGGGTACGGGAGGGAATGGCCGGCAGGGATGTAGCTCAGTTGATAGAGCATGGCGTTTGCAACGCCAGGGTTGTGGGTTCGTTTCCCACGGGGGGCCAGTATAAAAAAATATATGTATTCACTAACTGTAAGTCGCTCTGGATAAGAGCGTCTGCTAAAATGACTAAAAAAAAAAAAAAAGCGCAGCATGTGGACAATTGGCATGACATTTTTGCAACTTGGCGGAATTGGTATACTGTAATAATAATAATGACTGAGAAGAAATACATTGTTTCACCAGCTTCGCTGCTTGAACCCCTAATTACTTTTCACAATGCAAATTGTTAATATTAATAATAATATGCCTTTAATTTGTTATATTCACTGCTAAATTGTCAAAATTTGACCGCCAAGATAATTTATGTTAAAAAAAATCCACCACTCAGCTAATGGTAGTCCTCAAGAGCTTTTGACAGTGATTTGGTAGTCCCTGGAACAAAAAGGTTGGGAACTGTTGGTCTAGACTCTATGGGCCAGTTTTCCTGACACATATTAAGACTAGGCCTGGACTGACAATAAGAAGTATTTTTTCATTGAGATTCTTAATTGAGAATGTTTTTTAGTCCAAGACTAGGTGTAATCTTTGTCAGGGAAACCGGCCCTATATGAACATGGTAAATTAACTTTAATGCAGGATATGTGTAAGTTATAGCTGCCCAGATACTTCAGCCTTTTTAATCTCATAATTTGTTAAATTCTCTATTCTAGATGCCAGTTATACCCATATGCACAATAAGACGACCTAAGTGTTAAGATTATTTATATTTTTGGGACAATTCAAGTCATAATCTTGAAAGTCGTCACTAAAGAATAGTTCTTACACTGATATGAATAACATACTGTACGTTTTAAAGTGCACAATTACACTGTAATGCAAGAAAAAGGAGGACATTTAAGTCTTATTTTGCATACTGCTGGGTTATCACTTAGCTACACACTCCTTATAAACCAGTCTAGGCTGCAATTTGTACTGTAATTATTCTATCAGTATGATGACCTTAGTTGCTCCCTGTGCACTACTGTGTACAGTACAAAGCACATGTGTTTGGGGTGGAACTGCATA